TCTTTTCAAAAATGATACATACCTACCTCATCGGGCTAGCTAGGAAAGGGCCCGGTGCGAGTGGATTTTACGAACCTGATGGAGAGGCATACAAGTACATACAAGACATCGTCGCACTCGACTGGAGGTTACACTTACACACGCAGTGATGAGAAATGACCTTGACGAGTATTCAACAGGAAGAAGAATTTTAAAACCTTGTAGCTCGTTCTCATTCTGGGACGCTCCTCAGCGTTCGGAATGTTTCATTCATATTTTCATCTAGATCGTGGATCGCGTAAAACATACTGTGCAAAGCCAATTATCCTTCTACGCACCCATCGACAGACACGAGATGGATGGATGTATGTGTTCAGCTCAAATGAGGCGGATGCAGGACGCAAGCGGGCATATAAAAGCTCCTTATTCCCCATCTTCCCCTACTCTCTTCCTCGAGCCCTTCTTACTCGCCTTTGATCGTGGCCTTGTGACATCTTGTGATGTTCCCTTGGTCTTTGATTTGGATCTCGACTTCGAGGCCGCAGGGCGCTTCGTCGAGGCTTCATCACCCGCAAACTCTCCGTCATCGTCGATATCTCCACCCATAACCAGGTTGGGCGAGGAGTCAGCAGTATTGTCGTTCGTGCTAGGCTGGTGTTCGACTTCCTCGATACCTTGGATCTCGCCGAGTCCGTCAAGAACCTCAATCTCATCCTCATTTTCGCTCGGTTCTTCGTCCTCATCCCCTTCGTCAGCCCGTCGTTTCCGCCGTTTCTCTGCCTCTCCCCTGAGCCTTTTATACGCATTTCTCATCCGGCCGGATTCCTTGCCCGTACGATTTCTGGGCGCCATCGCTTCCGCTTGCGCTCGAGCCTGCCCAACACCCTCGCCACCGACAGCAAGTGCCTTGCCATGTGTTCCTGGGTTTCCATTGATGCCCCGTCCGCCGACACCAACCGTTCCCGAGAAAAATCGGGTGATGTTGCTCTGCGTGCCCTCCACTTCTCGCCGATTCATATCCCGAATGACCGGGACTAGAACCTCATCGGTCCTCTCCTGCGACCACCCGATCGTCGCCATCAGGAAGCTTCGTAATTTGTCCAAATCCGGCACTCCCCATTGAAATGGTTCCGGGTTTGAGTCGACCTCCGGATTGAGGTATGCGTCATCCACCCTTAAGTCGGGGAATCCCGTTGGCAGAAACAGACGTTTCTGTACCGTCTTGCGGAATTTCCGTCGAAAAGGGGTAGTGAGTTGGTTTTCCAGATCCTGGGGTCTGCCAAGTTGGATCTTCTCACACCACGCCTTGAATTCTTCTAGATTCTCGAAATCGGTGAGAATCTCTAGCGCAGTCACAGGTCCAACTCCAGGGACTCCCTCGGTGTAATCACTGCCCAATAGATGCGCGAACCTGATCAATCTCCGTCTGTCCAGCAAGAATTCCTTTTCAAGATCTGAGGAGAGATAGCACTCGACGTATTTCGCCGCGTTGAACATGTTCTTGTATATCCTGGTTCCTCCAAAGAGAAAGATATCTGAGTCGTCTGTGACAATTCCATCCACCAGGCCCAAGCGGACAAGTTCGGCACACTGCGCTTCAGCCTCCATTGGGGCGGTGATGTACGGCAGGCCAAACAATCTCAGCAGTGCTTGACATTCTTGGATCATAGTCTGCGTGACTTCGTCGGCATCTCGACGGTCGCGTTTCTGTTGGGACCGCAAGGCTTTGAGTTCGGCATCGAAATCGCGCATGGCTTGTTCGGTCGAGGGTCCTTTGGAATGATTGAGGGCGGATGTGAACCGGGTGTGTTCTTCAGCCTCTTCGGCCAGTTGGCGCATCAACTCTTCCTCCGAGGCAGAGAGATAATCGAATTCTTCTTCTTCGATTTGCGCCACGTCTGGAATTTCCGTGATGCCCGGTTCTGCAACGGGTTGTTCGCTCAGTCCTGAAAGCCGCACTGGGAAATCATTTGTCGACATTTGCCCTCGATTTGATGCAACTGCAGGCTCCATTTCGACATCCTCAAATTCCTCACCTTCGTCTTCATCTTGGGCAGCAGTTGCGGTGTCGTGTTGGCGCGGGGAAGGCTCCTCTTCGACAGTACCGAGCGATCCTGGACTCGCTGGTTGTACAGGCTGCTCATTGTCCGACTCACTCCATTCGACTTCCTCAAAATCACTTTCATTGGCCGCGACATGTTCAGTACCAGCCGGCTCAGGCAAATACTGAGGAACAGCAGACGGTTGAGGCGGTGATGCTTGTATCTCTTCAGCGATCTCGCCCATCGTCGGTGGTGGCTCTTCCTCGGGTTGGTTTTCGGCTGCAATTTGTCGTCCAAGCTCGTATCGCTTCTCGCGCTCTTCGTCTCTTTTCCGTCTTTCGAGATCTTCAACCTCTTGAATCATAGCAATTTCAGGTTCGCTGGGAGGGACAAGCTCGTCGACAGGTTCCTCAGATGGCTGGGTCAACAGTGGAGCTTCCTCCTGAACCGTTTCCTCTTCAAGATCAATTGGCTGTTGACTTCTGCCTTTGTCATCTTCAGCCTCTAGGTCTATCACTTCACTGGTGTCGTGGCGTCGTATGGTGTCCCATAGATCCGCATTTTCCTCTCTGTGCACATCATATGAATCTTCTGTAGCTGCAGTCTTCGATTTCATATCCTTGATGTTTGGAGTGGCATTGAACCATTCCGGCAATGGCTGAGCAGGCCTCTCCTTACGAAATGCATCTTCTCCGAGATCTCGATCGAATCCACCTGATAGATCTTCCTCGATTTTCTTGGATTTCTTCTTCCCCAGCAGTGATTGTCCGAGGTTGAGAGACTCGAAGGGCAACGGGCCATCAAATTTTGGCGCGGCAGTGCTCGTGATCTTTGACGACGTCGGACTCCGGTCTCTGACACTCGTTTTGGGCTTGAGCTTAGTTCGCCTTGACTCTGCAAGGGCAGCTTGTAGGTCGAATCCATCCTCCTCTGCAGACTCCTCGGCGGGTACTTCTGGTGCTCCTTCAGCCATCCATCCTCCGCCTCCTCGGTCGTCATCAGTTGGCTCCTCCAAGGACATGGCTATGGCGCGTTGTAGATCCTCGTCATGCTCCTCCGGCTCAGGATATAGGGGCAAAACATCCTCAAACATATCGTCCTCGTCCTCGGGCCCTGTTTTGTCCTCTGGGACAAATAACGACTCCTCGGCCGTTTCCATGGGGATGTCCCGAACGGCAGGATGGGAAGGCCGTGTAGTCTTCGGAGCAGCTTGGGTAGCGCTTGAAGCGGCCTTCCTTGCTTCATATACTGCTTTCCTCTTTCTCGCGATCTCTTCTGCCACCTCCTCATACGACATGTCATAATCAACGCCAGCTTTCCTCTTCCGAGCCCATGTCTTTGGGAGCCGGTTCAGGCCTTCAATCGCGACATCTTCGAACTCATCCTGATCTGAGTCTGCAGAGAAAGCGACTTCAGACTTTCCCTCGTCTTCCAGATCGATTGCATTCTCCTTTTCGGTACCCTGTCTGTTCGACACTACGCCCAGCGCCCATCCGCCCTCCACCCCTTCATTCTTCACCAGAATATATTCTTTCCCCTTCTCACCAGCAATCCTGCCACCGCCCTCTCTCAGAAAGTCTCCTTCCACCATACCGTTCAAGTGCATGAGCCGTTGCGTCAACTCGTTTCTCTCCTTGACTCTCTCGATCTGAAACTTCGAGAAAGCCATGCGGTCGGGAAACATGCCGTCGAGCTGCTCTTTGGAGTAGCCCATCCTCAGCCTCGATCTCAACCTCGCGGCATTTAGGATGTTGTACCTGTCTCCTGCTGGGAGGGAGAGGAAGAAAGGGCTCTCAAAATCAATCTTACTGAAGTCGTAGAGGTTGATATCCTCGCCCGAATGAAATTGTCGCGCGTACTCTTCCAACTCGGCCTGAGACATGATCCGTGGGTCGTTCGGCGCACCCATCTCTTCAAGGCTCACATCCAAGTCGGGCAAATGGTACTGGTCTTTCTTCCTGAATTTTTCGCCTCGACCAGCCGAGCGTTCTTGCTTCGTCATGCCCAGCTCTTCAACGTACACTAAGTCTTGGTCCGCCGGTAACTCCTCTTCGGGTGTTTTCTCTCTGTCCGCTCTCCGCCTCTTTTCTTCTTCCTCGGCCGCCCGAGCAACCTGCACGGCGAGCAACTTTCCCGCCGTCCTCGCCGCATCCTCTCGTCTACCCTCCCGTCTTCTCTTTCTCTTCCGGATGGTCTCTCGCTTCAGGACCGGTGCCCCGCCATCGAACACAAACACGGGCTTGATGCCAAAGTAGAGCAGTTTGCATATGCGGCGGAAGAAGCCGACGACGTGGCTGTTGCGTAGGGCATTGCCCTCTTTGTCCCGCACCGCTTTGAGGAATTGGTAGATCCAGATGGAGGCATCGACGGCCAGGCGTTTGCGATTCAGCGAGGCGAGTTGGGTTGGACGGGCGCTGGGGGCAACCACGGTCCACAGCCCAGTAACACCCATGATTTAACGGTCGAGGTCAATGAGGAAAGGGTGATAAAACCGTGCGCCTGCGACGCCGCTCTTGACGCTCTGCCGTCCGGAGTCTGGAGAAGGACTCTATTGCCACCATTGCTGCAGCGTCGCGGCAGCACATATGATGGAAAGCGGGAAATGCTGCTGAAAAACGATGATGTATTCTGCGGTGCGGTGCCTGAGTCACGCGCTAATGACGCGAACTCACATGCCCAGCCCCTCACCGAGTTCTACAGGTCAAGGCAAAATGAACTAGCACTGGATTACAAGATAGCCCTGATAATGAGAGGATTGTGTAGTGACTCCTTGATCACAATCATGTTGTACTAAATTCTGCCGCCCGTCAAGGCCCATTCTACCGAATTCCCACCCTTTGCAACGAAAGGGGCGCCTCCCAGCGGCATGTACTTGACGCCGTGCTAGACCATAAAGGGGCATCACAATCAGCCCCATGGAATAATGATCATGTAAAATCCCCAACACAAAAGAAAATAGAGTAATCGAGACAAGGCGACTTAGTTGCCTTCTTCCTTGGCATTCTCAGTCGAGCCTGACGGACCAACAAGAGTGGGAGCAATCCTTCTCCTCTTCGACTTGGTTTCCTCCTTTTCGCTTTCGCTTGTTGCGCCGTCCCTCTTGCCCAAAACAGAACCACTAATAGAGCTTGTTGCAGAATGTTGACCACCATGAACACTTGCAGGAGTCTGAGGCGGCGTTGTCATCGGTGGAATAGCTATCGGAGGACCGGAATTGGAGGCGGTCACCAGGGGCACATGTCCCAAGGTAGGGGTGGCATTATTTGGGAGACCCGAAGTTTGGACCGACGTCATTGTAGCTATTGATGACTGCGAATTGGATCTCGTCGGACTTCCAGGACGGAGTACAAATGGGGCTGGTGAAGGATGTGATGGTGGTACAGGAACAGGAGATGCTTTTGTCAGCGAAGGTGAAGCTGCAGCGGTAGGTGTTGGAACAGGTGTTGAATTTGAAGAAGATGTTGGTAAAGGTATCGAGGTTGTAACAACCGGATGGCTATATGTTGGATGGGGCCCGGTGTAGACCTGGCCCAATTCACCCGGTGCGAACGCCAAAGTAGAGCAAAAGCCATCCGTAGAGGACATCAGTAGTGTAAGACCGTCATTTGACCTGCGTCACCTTGTCAGTAATATTCTTGCCTCGAGAGCATTTCAAGACGTACCAGGTCAAATCTGAGAAAGTGGCGTAGTGAAGATTGCTCACGACACAGATAGGGGTGGTTTGCTGCGTGTCGTAAACAAACACTGCATCTTGCGTTGCCACGGCGTAGATCATTCGATACGGCAGGGAGAAGGCCGGAGTGGGTGCAGGGCTGGCAGGCTCACCATCGATCGATGGTTTCGGTGAAGGGGCAGACATCGAATCAGGACCAGGAGTAGAAGCCGACAAAGGTGGAGGCTCCATGATCGTTGATGAGCTCTGCGGAACTATAGGATCTGGCAGGAGAGGTATCTCTTCGCTCGCCGACGAGGTATCGATTGTGATGTGATTTGTGGGTTTCGGGGTGGAGCGCAAGGTATACAGGATAGGAGAGCATTTGACCGCCACGGACGGCTTCTTGTGCCCAGGAAGGTGGGCTACTGGAGGCTTGTTGAAGCCAGCTCTTGTATAGATGTAGACGGTATTTGTCACATCATCCGTGGTCTTCATTGGATCAGACGCCATTGGAAAGCTGGTCTTATAGTGTCCAGCAGGTGTAAACAAGAGGCTGCCGTCTGGTGAGAACGTAAGACGACGGAAGAAAGAGGTCATGGTTTCGTTGTGGTAGATATTCGTGTTCTTTACTGCTAGACCCATGGCTGCACTGAGACTCGGAGACGAAATCTCTGGTCTAACGGCTGGGAGCGGTAGCGAAGGTGCCGGTGAAGCAGATCGCCGGAACGAAGGCGACGAGCCGAAAGATGACCGCCGGCTTGATGTTAGGAGAGGAGGATCCATAGGTAGAGGAGTTGTCAGAGGCGTTCCAGGGTTGGAGGGCGCGGGAGACGCAATGGCAAGGTTGTTGGCACTGGAGTTCGAGGCACGGTGCGTCAACTCTGCTGGTGCCGGGCTGTTGGACGATATCCGTCGACCGGGGAGATCCATCTTGTTGAACTTGCCGTGGGTGGACAGTGTTGGCGTGCCATCTTTGAGCTTGAGAGCATAGATGTGGACCGATCGGTCTGATGATTGAGTCGCAACGAACTCGTTGAGGGGATCCCAAGCCACGCCTTGCACGAAATGACTGTGTTCTGCGATTTGGCGGATCATGGTTCCTTGGGCAAAGTCAGTAGCGTCATGCTGTGAGAGACATCAACTTCCACACATACCGGTATGCGCATTGAAAATCCTCGCCGTGTTGTCGACCCCACCGGTAATGAAATATTGGCCGTCTGGCGACCATGCCAGATCATAAATTTCCGCTCCGGTGGAAGTCCTGCACATGTGTTTGATCCTCCATGTTTCCTTGTCATCGGCATGTTCATCGGTCAAGGTGGCCATGGAAGATTCGGAGGGCACCCAAAGAAGGACGTTGCCGTCATCGCCGGCTGAAGCCAGCATTTCACCTGCCTTCCGTCAGCAAACAGCGTTCAAGCCAGTATCAGAGTACATACCCTTGGGACAGAACCGGACGACATTGACGGGTTGAGTGTGCCTGGTGAGAGTTGATAGGTATGTTACTTTTCTCTCCTCGCCTTGAGCTTCAATGCTCCATAACTATTTTCTTCCGTATCAGCAGATTTTACCGAAGAGAGGAGCGAAGAGAGAGGATTTTGTACCCGGACATTGTTATCACTATTCTAGTCAGCAAAACTGTAGGATACGTCGTAACGGGAGAACTCACTTTCCAGCCGTAGCTAGCCTCCCTTTACCATGAGGATCGAAATGGACCGAATAGATCGGCTGGCTCTCATGGTGCCACTGAATGAGAAGCGGTCCGGCTTTCATGACGGCATTGGAGAGCGGCCTCGAAGGCCACTTGACGGAAGTTCAAAATGGCAGGTTGAAGTTGTGGTGGACTGAGCCGTGGAATATGTAGCCGGTCCTTGTTGGCGCTCGTGTACAGGTAAGATGCGGTGGGTAAACGGCAGGCGGCAGAGGAGCTTTCGTTTGCGTTCTTTGAGGCGGAGATCAACAACCGGATCCCAGCAGAGAGTGCTTGCTGAGTCAAATCGTGTAATGAAGTGGACGAGAGAATACTTTTCTCACTCTGTGAGTATCGGGATAGAGGTTGAAACAAGGGCTATTGGTCGTCTGAGTAGCAACGGGCGCAGTTCAACTACTACTACTAGTCGAGAGACAAAGAGATGGGCCGCATGCCTCGTCGTGGAGGGTTGCCAATGTGCTCCGCAGCCAGATTGGAATTGGGCGGCTTCAAAGGTGGAGAAGAGGTCCAGCCCTGATCTTCCAACACTACGTGTACCTCGAATTGTTGCTTCACAGCTGCTATAGGCTCGCATTCAGCTACCTCTTGTTATCTTGCTGCGGCCTACTCCCTCCCACACGAAAAAAATCCTGGACCTTGAAAGTTTGACGCGCCCGTGTCTCCCTCGTCACCCACGTCTGGATGCCTGGCGCGTCTGACCACATCAACCTGGCCAGTCACTCATTCAACCCTGGGGCCAAACATTTCAATTCTGGTGGGATTGGTGAAATTCTATTGCATCCCCCCAATAGCATTAGGTCATCACTCGACATAGACTTCTTTGCTCCTAGAGCTCCAAATACCAGCTGCCTGACCTTCTCGGGGGCCATGCCCTCCGGATTGCAGTAGTACATTCCCAGCAAGACCACCAAATCTCTGCTCCTTTCCTTCGACTCGACTGATATCGACCGAATTCCAAATTGTTTGTACGAAAACCGATGCGCTTTTCCGAAGACGTAGCTTCCTGAAGCTGCCTGTGTCTCTTTGTGTTGGAATAACCCTGTTGCGCCAACCGACGCCGATTGAACTAGAATCAGTCGAGACGGCACGAGGCCATGACGGCAAGGCATCCCAGACCTTGCGGCCAACCAAGATCCGGGTCATAGACTTGGTACATTGCCCACTGTCTGTACAAGAACGAGTGACAAGACCGACGTTGCCGGAAATACAGGTCATGAGAAACGCAGGAATGACTGAAGATGTTTTCTTTATTTCGATATCGTGATCCCTTAAAAACTCTGAGCCGACACTTGTGCTGGCTGAAACAGTTATTAGCTTCCGCTATCAGAGGTGAATAAAAGCCGGAAACACGCACCGGACTGTTGAGCATATTCTGGCGGGCATTTCTGCCCTTCTTGATATGACTCTTAAGCGCACTCGAATCCAGCGGCTTCAGCAATTCGAAGCTGCAAAGCAAATTGCTGGACACCGACATCACAGCACCCCAGTTGTCGAACTCACCGCAGTACTGGGAAAGAGTTAGCGATAGTTTCTGCATAGGAACGCTGCACTTACATTCGGCGCAGAGAAGACTGTGACGAGCAAGCGGTCATTGAAAAATTCATAACCATCCTCGACAACCATGTGAGCTCGGCAGACCAGGTCGAAGTCGTGGCGTGCCAGGAAGTCGACGATGACCTTTTTGCCAAAGCAATAACTGACGCCCCGTTCGTTTGACTCCCAATCCTGATCCATGTCCGCAGGGTCACTCCACAACAGATCATTCAGCAGCCCATAATCAGGAACGTCTGTCGGTCGTGCAATCTGCCGGATATCATCCATATGAGACAGAGACGGGGACAGGCCGCCATGGACACAGAAGATCTTGTCGGCCACAATCGCAGCAATGGGCAGACAGTTGAAGGTGTCAATGAATGTTTTCCAGATCTTGATGTTGCACCTTCGTTTGCATTCGTCGTAAAAACCATAAACTCGAGTGACGTTAGCACACTCGTGGTTACCTCGAAGGATGAAAAAGTTCTCTGGATATTTCAACTTGTAGCAAAACAAGAGTAGAATTGTCTCAAGAGACTGTTTTCCCCGGTCGACATAGTCGCCCAGGAAAAGATAGTTTGCGTTTGGGGGGAATCCGCACATTTCGAAAAGTCGGATCAGGTCATTGTACTGGCCGTGAATATCCCCCACAATTTTGACCGGTGCCGTGAGCTCCAGCAGTGCTGGCTGAGAGAGGAGCACCTCCCGTACGGCGGTGCAGATTGCCGTAATCTCGGCGTTCTTAAGGCAGACAGCTTTCGTTACCTTGGTGGTGTAACCAGCGTCCAGGAGACGAGAGATCATGTCGTCCAAATCCATGTCATTCACTTCGCTCATGCCCATACCACCTCCTGGAGAAGCACCTGGCAACTCTGCCAGCTTGGCCCGCAGTGAGGCCTTGGTCTCTGGGGCTCGCGGGTTGATCTGGTTCTCCCGCTTGACCAAGATCGAATCCCCCGCCTTTTGCGTAGATGAGTGGACATGAGCCTGATGAGGAGCTTCCTCAGAGACTGCGCCTACCTCTCCGGTCCTCTGAGCACGATCCACCGATTTGTGACCTTTGCCTACAGACTTGGACTGGGTTGGTGACGGTGGTCTTGCAGGAGTGTTGGCACCTGGTGATGGAGCATCATCGTCGTCGTTGGGCGACGTAGGAGACTCTACCAGAGGGTTTGTCGTGATCTTCTCTCTCGGGGCTCGAGAAGAGCCCGAACGGCCACTGGCAATAGAACTGGCGTCAGCCTTGTCGTTGTTTGGGACTTCCGACCCCGCAAGGGTGGAGCCCGACGCCCTGGGGCTGTCGTTGGTCTTGTCATCTCCCGAGCTCTTTATTTTGCTTCGAATGGACGATCGGATGGATCGCGAGGAACTCTCCCTCGTGTCGGATTTGGATATGGAGGGATACTGCTGTAATGTATCCGGCAGATTAGAGGACGAGCCGCTCTTCAGTGGAGTTCTAGTTCCATCGCTGCTCTTTGACTGTTGTTGGCCCATTGAATTCTCGGCCTGGCAAAGATATGGCTGATCGCGGGAGAAGAGGTCGGGGTTTGAGAAACGAGCGGGTCAAGGAGGTTTGAGGAGTGAGATAAGCAGCCGCTTTGAGGAATGCGTTTTGGCGACTTTACTCAAGGGCACTGTGAAAGGAGCACACTGGAAGTATGCTCAAACAAAATCCACCTTCAAGTTCTGGGGCGCGATGTCGCTCAGTCGGCCGGCTTCCTGCGATGGAACTAGAGGGATAAGTGACAAACAGCGACTGTTCATGGAGGTGTGCTTTGTGGACTGGGTTTCCTTGGTCTCGCCTGCATGAAAGAGGTCGTAACAGGTCAGCAAAGTCATCCAGCAACGAGTCAGAGGTCGAGCAAGCTAAACAAGAGGGTTTTCTTTTGTAAGGATGGAAATGTCGCATGAGGCGTGGATGGTGAAACACGTTGCGTCACCGTGCGGAAGGGCTGGGATGGGAACTGACCTGCTGAAGAGATGGCGATTGAGACGACCGAAGACAACACAATCAAAGCACGTAGCACGTAGATCGTAGAGCCTAAGAGATGGTGGAGGTGGGAAGCTGAGGACAACGATCTGAGGGTTGATAAATAAATTGGGTGTTAGAATTCGTGGAGGGAGCAACATGAAGGCCCGAAAGTGCAGGCAGGGCACCGCAGGCCATTCGTACACGGTCTAGTTTCGCGGCGCCAGGCAGTTGCCTGCTCTGGTTGGCCACCTGTTCGGCCATATCGGCTTCGGGGCCCAGAACATTCGAACTCTTTAAGCCCACCAGCCTTAGTGATCACTACCTAAACCCCTAACTCCTAGTCACCACGCCCCAATTTGGCTCGTAGGGGAGCCCAGATGAGGTCACTTTGCGTACTATTATTTTGGGGTCTTTATATCAGTGATTACTGTGTTGCTTCAGGCCCGAGGGCTCCTAACAAAGTTACATACGTATACAACACCTGGTCAGCTCAATGCTGGTAATGCCGAGAGCAGCTTGGCGCAGATCAACACGAGAGTTTGATCCCGTTTGTCCATAGACTGATGCGTTCTCTGCAGTTGATTCGCTTTGATTACAGCTTCCAGTGCATTGAGTTCCTTGTTCCGCCCTCCCTTGAAGTGCTGTGGGAGAGGCGGTCAGTTCTGCGGTCCGTCACAAGAGGGCGAAGCGTAACTTGGCTTCTTCACATGCCTCCCCCATTTTGTGCCTTGACGACAGGTAGAGGGTACCTAGTCGCCAATTTCTGGAAACACAGCAAAGCATTCCCCAATAGCTCGATTCGAGAAGCTTGCCAATACTCGTAGGCAGCCAGTAGAGCTTTCGCAGGGGTTCACCATGTCTCCAAGGACAGGGTACTCTGATCAAAGTCTTGCTTGGCTGGCGTGACTCTTCCACCGCTTCATGGTCGCGTCCGAATTGACAAGGACTGGCTGCCAGGCCACTCTCTCTTCTCTTCTACTTCCATCTTTGCAATCTGCTTGCCCGGAATGACAATGAGGCCCACGAATCGCGATGTCATGTCCACTCTGCTGGGCTGTCCCGTAGTCTTCAGCTTGTCAATCGCGGCCTTTTCAGCCGCTCTAGATGGCATTCTGTATTCGAATGAATTGGAAAGGATGATGTTGCTGTCACTGTCGGTGCATCGAAATGTTCCCGAAAATAGACGCCCATCAAGAACAGTGACATTGAAGGTCTTTCCAAGCAAGGATTCGAGGAACTGTGTAGCCTCGGCTTCTTCCATTTGGAGGCAGAGAAGATGTTGATAGGAAGAGGGCCGAAAGCTTCTCTTTCGTAGCGTGTTGTTGGATGTATCTTCCTTACGGCTGAATTGAGGAGAGAGGCGGAGGTTGGGGAATGGAAAAGTTCCGTGCCAATGTTATCAGAGGCTCAGCCTTGCCGTTGGTCTTGGCAACGAGGCTGAGAGGCTAAGCCCAAATGTCAATGTTCCTCACTAACTCAAGGCAAGTTTCAAGGAAGCCAACGAACACTTCATTAACGACTCATGTCAGGAGACTGCATTATGTAGCAGAGTACACG